ATTAAAATAGCTCCATTTTTAATGTTTCATATTTGTCTGCTCATAAAAAATAAAACACATTAAATTTTAATGAAATTGCTTTTAATATAACAGCAACGTTTTGGCATGCAATTACTATTGCTGCAACTAGTAGATCATTAAAATACATAGTGATCAAATTATATTTGTTTTTTATTTATATTATATAGCTATATATAGATATTGTGTTATATGATGTTGTATTATAACATAATATACATTATGATATAAAATATTGTATTGTTTATATTATATTATATTATATTATATTATATTATATTATATTAATTATTGTATTATATAATTATAATTGTATAATAATAATAATAATATTACATTGTATTATTTTATCATATCATATCAATCATATCATATCATATCATATCATATCATATCATATCATATCATATATATTTGTTATATTATATTTCTCTTCCAGAGTACAAAATGTAGTAAGGTCACTGTCATGAACCAGGCATCACCTTATGTTTATGTCATTTAGCATTTGTTTGACTTGTTTGTACCTTCTTACTGTCAAAGTTTAAAGATGTTCTGCTAACTTTCTGTGGGTATTTAAAACTGAGGGATTCCAACACACTTCATCCAAACAAAAAGAGCCTGTGGGCCCCTATAAGGTCAACAGAGGAGATAGAATCCCCATGAAAGAAATTCTGTCTGAAAGCCTGACTTTAACTTAGAGCAAAAGCAAGACTTTTGCTCAGATTATCTGACATGCGTGGAATAATTCCTGTTTTTTGGAGCAATGTACAGTATGAATCTAAAAGAAAGTCAAATCATTCTGAGTTGGCTTATTTTAACTGCAGATCAATGAACAACTTAGTCATAAAAACATACAATGGATAACTTATTAATTTTAATAATTGACGACTTAAATGCAAAAATTTATTTTATTCTTTTAAGAACACATTCCATTGTTTTCAAATTAAAACACTGAAAAACCCCACAATGCTCTTATTGTATGAATATGCCAGGGAAAATTTGTAGCAGTAGATTTAATTAAACTATTTGACTTGTCCTTTGGCCTGGGAGAAACAATGCAGCAGTAGTTTTTATAATGACTGTTCTTTTTTGAATTCACTAGTGTTTAAACGTGCCTCTGGTGCTCTGGAAACTGGATCAGTACTCAACCTAATGAAGTAACTGGACTCTACACCTGGAATGAGATTTACCTCTAGAGCTGAAGAGCTGGCCAAAGGTCTCTACTGTTTGGATGGAACTAAGAGTTTATTCTGATCCTTTGCACTGCATTAATCTTACCTCAAATAAAACCTCTCTGCAGTCTTCACATTTCACAAGGTATATATATTTTACTATAAAAGCCTCAGGTGAACTCTTAAGATTGTGTTTCAGGATTTTCATTTTATTTTCATATTAAAATAATTGATCCAGGTAAATTAAATTTAAACAAACAAAAAACTCTTGTCTGACTTGCAAAATGTGCAGTTAAAACAGATCAAGATAACAATGAATCTTGTTTTTTAACACCTAGTAGCAATATCTTGTCAATATCTGCTCCATTGAATGAGAGTTCAGTGCTAATCGTAAATAAGATTAAAGAAATTACCACTGAATAGCAGATTATTTTGTCTCTTGAATGCCCAAAAAGTGCTCAAAAAACCCAAAACACCTTCTATCATGGATTCGTCTTTCAGATGTCCTTTAAAATGCACCATAAGGAAAAAACCACCCCAACCAACAAACCAAGTCTGTAAACAGTGTTTCAAGTGATGGCTGCCTTCACTGTCAAAGTGACAACTGATAAGGAATGGCAATGGGTATTAATTGCTTTTGCATTTTTTTGGTTTGTCTCAGTTTTCTAACACATGAGAGCCTTTGCTATTGTGTTGAGCAACCCACCAAAAGCTGTGGCACAGCTGTTCCAAAGTGCTGCAGAACTTTTCCTCTGCAGCCAAATGAAGGGCTCATCTTGGCGGTGGCCAATATCATGTTTGGCTGCTTGCTTGGCCCCTGGCTCAGGCATGCATTTCCCATTAAATTCCACTGATGGAAGTGAAGGCATGCAACACTTCTTTTCCCTTCATCCACTGTAGACTAGCTGAGGGCAGGACTCTGCTCACTCAGCCATGTACACTCCAGCCTAGCATGGAATTGTCTCAGCCTGACGCCATTGCTTTGCATGGGATAATAGAAAGTCATATTGAGTCTGTAGCTTGAAAAACACAGTAGCATTTCTAGAAATACTTTTAAATCCAATATAAACTGTATATTTTTAAATCCAAGATAAACTGTATAACTGTATATTAGAACAGGCTTGTACAAAATTCTATAGCTGACAGAAGAGACAATCACTACAGGAAAAATACTGCATAGTTGCCTAAATAAAATTTTAATGGTTTTCAGCAGTGTATTTACAGCGGCACTGTAAACTCAGAGTTGAAAGTTGGAGTAGCTTGGTCCAAACTAGCTTCAAAATAATGGACTGCAAAAGCCATGAGCCATTATATTATGCTTCATGTGGCCATGAGGAAACAGGGAAAAAAATAGACAAGGAAAGGACAATCTGGAAAAAAAACTATTTCTGGAGTTAATGAGTCCTTTGCAAAGCAAATGCAGTTCCTGTTGAGGCAACAGGAACGCTTGCATTCACTTTTTTTATTTAATCAAGTTCTTCGTGGTAGCTGTCCTGAGAAGTAAAGAAATAAACCAAAACTGAATAAGAGCAGCATGTGTTCTTTGTATCATGAGTGTATAATATTGAAGACATTGGAGTAAATTGGAAATAAGGACTTTGGAGTAAGTTTATTTAGAAAAAGGGAAGGAAAGTGAGTGTGCAAAAGAAATCGTGACCTAAGGTTTTGTTACTCTTAAAGATAACTTTAACACATGCTCACATGAGCATGAGAAAAAAGATGATAAGAAGGAATTCAAAGGGAATTTAAAGTGAACTGCAGTGGCTGAAAGCAAACACAACTATAATGAAAATATCTTTGGAGATTTCAAAGATAAGTATGAGGAAATCATGCATCTTGTTTTCTATGTTCTGAAACATTTTGCCATGTAACAGATATGACAGGCATCTGGTGTGACAAAGTGTTTGACAGCAGCTGAAAACAAGCTGACACTTGAACTGAAGGGCAAAATAATCACCTTATCTTGCTGCTTGAGCTCATACAAGCTTTTTATTATGTTATGGACTGAAAATTCTTGTTTGCTTGCTTGTTTGTTTTCTCAGTGAGAAACAGAGTGTGAAAAAATAGGTTAGAAGCAATGCCAAGCGCACAGGCTGTTCAGTCCTCGCAGTCACATCTCATGTGGCTTTCAGGATTAGCTCTGCTGGCAGTGTATGAAAGACTGAGTGCCACTATATCAGAGCACAACCCAGGCTGCCAGCCACCATAACCCAGTACAATGAAGTAGTACTATTTACTTGTCACACCATTTTTGGAGCAATTTCTTTAGAATTGGTAGAAAAAAACTGCCTTTAATGGACCAAGATCAAATCTTGCTGCAGTAGTTTTCATGACTAACCCTTGTGCATTTTCTATGTGAGAAGATGGAGCACATTGAAACACTGAGCTGATTTGGGTAGACAAGTGCCATGTCTGAGACATGTCCAGTAAGTCATTCCCATGAAGCTCTTCCCCATTGGAATTCTCTAAGAATAAAATTCATATAATGATTTTAGCCCAATTTTCTGTTTAACTTTGTGACAGAGCAAGCGTCATGAAGGCAGAGGATAAACTAAGTATTACCACATCAAACTAAACAGACAAATAATGTCTGATTTTCCTTTTTTTAATATGAAATGAATTGAAAAATGACACAGACACAAAAGAAATCATGGAAAGGTAAAAGTTGTGTAAGGTAGAGGAGAATTAAAGCATTTACTTTTGATAGGGCACAGTTTTGTTATTTACCCAGTCTTGAAATTGAATGCACTGGCTGTGTAACCAAATAAAATGACACACTCTGCTCTCAATATTTTTGCTAGATTCCTACTGGATACTTGTCTTCCTGAAGTCTTGCCATGCCACCTGTTACCTGAATGTTCAAGTGCATCACGTTTCTCATCCATGACAGCAGCTTGCAATCTGCTAAGAAGGAGTAAGCAGTCTCAGTTTTCAAGACGGTAGAATTATTGCACTTGGTTCAGTTTCTAGAAAAGGTATGACAAGTGTATATTTCTGTCTTTCTCCTTTCTCCATTCAAGAAAAGGGAATAATCAAACTGCTAGGAATTTGCTCTTGTTTTGCACATATTCCAAATGTTTTCTTCTCATGCCTATTGCTATCTAATAAAAAAAAATTCTTTTATAAAAGATATAGATACATGTTCTGGAAACAGTTTTTCAATCCAATTCCAAACTGCAAATGGACATTGTTCCAATTTCAGTTACACAATTTCTTGCTATCACAAGTTCATAGCTTTCATATAAAATACTTGCTCCGTCATGTAGCTGTAAAAAAAATATTTGAGGATTGATCAGATTTAATAACAGTAAGAATAGAGGGATGATCATATAGTTTAAGCAGACAGATAGATATCTACAATAAACACTGCCCTGGATTACTTTAATTAATTTTCAGTGTGATTTGCAACATTCTGTGATTGTGCTTTGCTGATGCATTTGAAAATGATAATCCTTGGGCCATCTGGCCCATGCTCACACTTGTCAGTGAGAGCAGCCTGGAGCCAGATAGGTCTCGTAATTCTTGGTCTAGGACTTCAGCAGGACCTTTCCAGCTCTTGGAGACTGTGTTTTCTCTGAGTGGAGGCAGTGGGGGTTTCTCAGCTCGGAGTTCTCCAGATGATGAGAAGGCAGTGTCACAGCCCTAACCATGGGCTTTTGTAGCCTGGGTGTGCAAGTAGGAGCATCTCTTCTGCGTGTGAGCCTGTAGGGGTGGGCTGTGAGGAAGTGATGATACTGAACTTATTGTTGGAAGGGTATCTCGGACACAAGGAGCCTGAACAATTTGCATTGTGCTTATCTGCACTGTTTCTCTCAGGCAGATCCTAATGAGAAATGATGGAAAAAGGCAGAAGGAAGGCCTTCACATAGTAAGGGTGGTCAGAAGGCTGAGGTACCTGTTACAAAGCAGAAAGGACACCAAATTGTTATGATAAATGAATAAGGGTAGGTAATAAAATAACAGATGTTTTGCTCAGTTTCTGCTGCATAAAAATCTGTTATAATTTCTTTCTGGACAATTTTCTATAAATTAAAAAGACGTTATATTTATTTAACATAGGACAGGATAAGGTTCTTGGGAGTTTCTCAATCTGTAAGGTGACTCAGAATACATGGATCATCATTTCACTACCCCTTACTTCAGTAAGAGATCTATCATCTCTAAAAGGTCTTTATGCATGCCTCTAAGACATAAGCTTCATAGCCTTTCAGGGGAGAGACATAGCAATTCTCTAGGGAAAAATAAAATTAAAATTAACAAAATGTAGGCAGTTCTGATAGTGCTAGAAGTGAAATACTTTTCAGTCTCACACTATTGTCATTCACTGGGATTTTCACCACATTTCACCACCAAAAAATAGTTACAGAAAGAATTTGGTAAAAATAATTGCCAAATAATATTTGCCCATGGAGATGAGAAACAGATTTTTCAAAGATGTGTTGGACTCTTAAATAATAACTAAGAACAGAAAACTTCACTTGTTGAAGTTAAACAGAAATAAAAATGATGGGGAATTACTGCAGCCTTGTTTGCTTTAACAATTGAGTAGAATCAGAGGCCCATTTTCCTAAATCTTCCTAAGATTGCCTTTAAAAATCTACAAATAGAAAATAAAAAGTTGGGGCACAAGCTTTCTATTTTTATCTTATATCAGTTGCTTTACTAATTTCTGATATGATTTTTAATGACATTTCTAAGAGGCCGTTAAATGGTTGTTTTAATGAAATTATTATATACATAGAGTTGAAGAATTAGAAATCATTAATAAGTAATTGGAACTATAGGAAAAAGCATTATCCTGAGCAAAACATAATTCCTCATAATAAAATAGAATTTATTTAAATTATGACCTTGTTAGTTGACACCAGCAGTGAAAAAAAATGATAGAACATTGTTAATAGCTATGGTTTTTTTCTCTTTACCAAAGATGCTAATAACACATTATCCACACTATTTCCATGGTTCAGATACAAAATGTTATGGAATTTATATTTATATGGAATTTATAGGGCAGAAAATTATGCAGTAAAATGTTAGAATTGTTGTTTTCTGCCTCCTGTGCTCAAATCTGGTGCCAAGTTTTAGCTTTTAGTAATCAATTAGGCCTGAAAATGAGTTATGCATATTTCTCTGATTACCATGTAGTTGATTTCTACTAGTTAATTTTCAAATAAATACTGTTCTTGCATCTGTTCTGTTTATTGTTATTGTGCTGTATTTTTATGGTTCCAGGTGTACCTGGAACCTTGATCACACTCCCAGGCTTTCTTCTATGTTTGTGAGGTTTTTTCCTTTCAAAAAGTTCCAAACTGTAAGACCGAAGTGACCTCCTCTAGCAGCAAAAATAATTTTTCATTCTCATTCACTCCAAGTTTCCAGAAACACAATTTCTATCAAATACTTTCCTTCCAGTGTTTCCTTTTTGTTTTGGCTTCTTTTCTGCCATTGATTTCGAGAGAGAGGAGGAGATATATCAGAAATTGCTTTAATTATATAAGCATGCCATTTCCCCCAGCAGGACAATTTTGGCTCAGATGGAGATATATGTTTTATGAATAGCTAGTGAAAGAGCATTTGCTTCATAGTGTCTTTAAGCAGAAGTGGAACTGTACCAAATAAATCTAGAACAACCTGTAGACCCAACCCTTTTTCATGTCTATCTGAATAGCACCTGACAGGGAGCCAAGAATACAACAGAAGAAAATAATAATATCATTAAAAATGTGAATATTTCTTTCTTGGGGCTTTGGTTAAAGAGTCTCTTCACAGTATACAAAAATAGCTTCTCACTGAATTTATAAAGTTCAAAATAAAAGTTGAGCTGATTTCCTTATGGTCTTTTTTTGCTGCTCACAAAGGCCTGGTGTCCTTAGGAACTGGGTTGGTTGGCAGAGCAGAAGAGCTAGAAGAACCACAACACGACAGCAGCATAAAAACATCTCCTGTCTATGGGACTCGCTGGTTGCTGGTGATGCTACAAAATGTACTTGGAAAAAGGCCGTAATCAATGACGTTGTAATTCCAGAGAATATGGCAAGGACATCTCCTACCTCCTAAGAACTGCTATGATGACCACTGTGAACAAGGCAACAAGAGTTGCAGCATTGTTTTGTGGGGAAAGAACAACAATTCTGTGTGGAAGTTGAATGGAAGTTTGGCTTTCAAGGCCATAAGTAATGCCATGCAACTGAGAAAACCACTGCAATACCCCAACAACACAGAAATAGCAATTTTTGGTTTGGTCTATTCCCAGATGCCCAGCTGTACCAGAAGGTTTTTCTACATTTTAAGCTGCTCAGTCTGCAGCTTCATTATGGTTCAAATAAGGCAGAGCTGTAATTGTGGCAATGTCATATCAGAGATGTCATATTGGTTGCCCAAGAGTGCAGGAATCCAATCTTGCCATTGCAGATTGCATTCCGCACTTACTGCAAGTAAATAATTGCTTCCTCTTCTGCACTCTGATTCTCTAAGGTCTGCTGGGACTCAGCCCTTTCTTGCAATTCTTTATTTCCCTCACTAAACGATTTTCAAATGTAGAGCAGTACAGCATGCAAATACATGGAAAAAGTTGTTGTCAAATGACTATATTCACCAAGGGAAAAAGTCCACCATAAAATTGCTCTGCAGGTTACTTTGTTTTTAATATGTCTCCCTGTAAATCTAGTGCCCCAAGACACTGAAGCAGCTGGAAGTAATGAAATGTATTTTTCATACACTCACTTTTCATTTCAATGTATCAAGCAGCTCTTTAAACTGCTATTTTAAAATATTATGTCCTATTTTAGAAAGCCTTTATAATAATGGTGAATAATTAGAACTCAAAATGCTTGCTATTTGTAAATGAAAATAAATGCTTAGCCCTTCTTGGAGAAGCCATTTAAAGAAATCTTTTTAAAAAGTCATCAATTTTGGTTTATACTAGTGGTTTCTTTTATTTTGCTCAAAGTATATCCCAACAATTCAAAATGATGAATTATTCAAAGTTCTACTGTAGTAGAAGTGGTGTTATGCAAAGATAATGTATGTATGAAAGAACAGGAATATAATTTTTCATCTCTATTTTATTCTTTCTTGCTAATGGATGAGCAGAGAAATGAAGGGCCTGATGCTTTTCCACCCTTACTCCCTACTCTCCATGTAATTTTGGGCGTTTGTAATGTCTTGGGGTGTAAGAAGCACCCAAACCTCATAGCCCAAAGTTTAAAAAAAACTAAGAAAAACAATAAAGTGCTGAAGTGAAAATGGTCTTTAGGAGGAAGGTCACCAGGAGACAAATTATCTATTGGTAATTGAATAAATGTAGGGAGATAATAAAGAACCGATTTAAATGTGCCATTGGCATAGCCTGCCACATAAGAACAGACACTGTCACATTTAGTGGAAAATGGTTCAGATTCTGATCTGATGAATAAGTCAGTAGGAGCATACAAATCTTTCAGCAATATCTGCTGGACACTGCTGAAATCCTAGGACAGGCTCCATGCCCTTGGCCTCAGCGCTGTTAGTTCTGGAAGCAGATTTTCCCAAGTAATTTTTTATGAGACAGTCAGGCAACTGATATCATGACTAAACCTATTGATTTTATTATTATTATTTATTTTATTGAATATTTACTTCTGTCTGGGCAATTCCAGTGGCTTGTACTAGGACAGCACTAATAATTCAGAGTTTCTACAGGAAACCTATAGATATCCAGGTATCAACACAGTCATTCAAAGATGTATGGAAAGTAAACTAAATCATAGGTTATTAATTACTAAGGGAAGTGCTGGATAATTCCCTAAAATAACAAGGCATTTAACTAAATAGGGCCCAACAAAATGCAGAGTGATAATCAGAGATAGCAAGCCATGTAATATTTAGAGAAATGCACAAAATCTAATTTTTTTAAAACCTAAGAATAGTAAATGTTCTGAAATCTAGACTAAAAGCCATGGGAAAGCCAAAAATCTGCATTTGACCTTGCTCACATATTCCTTGTCTATAGATATCTTAGCACCATGCAACAATTTATAAATATTCTTAAAATAAAAATAAATTTTGTGTTTAGAATGAAAGTTAAGATATCCAGTGAAAAACCATAATGTGGAATGACAGGATACACAATGTACACGATATTTGTAAGGAAAATGTAATTATATAGTTTTGCATTTTCCATGTCTCTTTTCTTTAAGAAGTTTGTAGTTAACAAATGAGCAGATCACTGCTGAAGCAGAAATTCTCTTCCAAGAACCAGTGTAAGAAACATTATGCTACAGGAGAGTTATGAAGTAGTGTGGAAAAGGTATAGTCGTAGAAATAAAGTTGTCACAGTAAGATTTATGGTTCTAATTCAGGAGAAGTTAAGACTTGAAAAACCCAAATGAATATAAGCATCTGTGTCCAGTACAGCTTTAGACATCTAAGTTTTCCAAGCATTGAGATGTAATTCAGATTCCATCTTCACCAGCTGTTGTTTCAGGGCACCTTTCCCCTCAGCACATTGGCTTCTGTAAATCCATTCAGTTTTTCACTTTCCTTCATCATAGGAGCTCAAATGCCAAAAAATGGTTTGTGAATTGCTTGTGGGCATTTCCATGCCCATGGTCTGATGTGGCAGTGGCCAATATTATCATGCCTAAATTCAACTGGTGACTTAACATACAGTATTATCTATATATAATTTGGTCTTCAAAAACTTGTGGCTGTGTAGGTAGGATACCTTAGCTGTACTACTATTTCCTTAAAAAGAATTCACTAGGTAAGTAGACAGGTTTCAAAGCAGGAAAAAAGGTAATTTGTAGCTTAATTCTGTACTCTTAGGATCTTAGAATGACAGTCTTTTCCTAACGCACAACACGAAAGGGATTTTTTTTTCTCCAGATGTACCTTACTGAATAGAGCTCTGAGATA